GTTTCTACGATTAAAATAAAGGTAAATTTGATTAAAGTTTATTACACTTAAACCTTACCGTTCTTGAAATATTTTCAATTTTGTGAAATTGCAGTCAAAATTTTAAGGCTTCATTTCTCCAAAGGTAACAAAGTTTTTAATACTAAATATTTACTGAAGTTTATTTATTGATCAGTTATTGTGTTGCAATTATAAAAATTATACTACTTTATACAGAGGGCCTAAAATTTTATTTTAATTAATTGCTAGCGTTAAACGGCAATAACTTGTTTAATTTAAATGGAACGCCCTGTATATTTTAGGAAAATCAGATGCATAATTTAATTGTCTATCAAATTGTATTATACCACTTTCTACCCATCCTTTCAAGTTTTCGTAGAAAATGCATTTTCTTATAATTTAGACCTCATTTATCAATATACCCATGGAATATTGACATTTTAGATTGTTTTTAAAGCAAAAAATGTTCAAAATGTACAGGCTTTTTTTACGTTTTTAGCAAAATGATAATATTACTAGCCCATTTGTATGCAAAAAAAACTATTTAAATCTTTATAAAAGAATATACCATTAATTAAATATACCACCATTATTTCCGCCCAAATACTAATTAATTACATACTTAATTATGTTCGTTAATAAAATAATAAATAATATATTCTAAATAAATGTGGATTTGGAATCAGAAATCAATATAATAATAAGTTATAAAAATGGATGTCTCTGTTGTTATAAATAAGCATTTGTCAAAAAATGAAATATCATTTTTAAAGCGTTACTTTTTACCACACTGTCTAATACACATAAAAAATTAAGTTTTTTAGTATTTGGACCAATTATTATTAATCAACGCAAACAGTCAATTAATGTAGTTTGAATACTGGAATCATATTAATTGGTCCTCTATAACAAATATTTAAACAGTTTTTTTTTATTTTTTAATGAAATAAACAAACTATATCGACAATATTAGTATCTGTACTCTTTAAAAATTTGGTACATCTTTAAAAATAATCTAAAATGTCAGTATTCCATGGGTATATTGATAAATGAATTTAAAATTACAAGAAAATGCATTTTCTACCGAAACTTGAAGCGATAGGTAAAAAATTGTGTAATACAATTTGATAGATAATTAAATTGTGCATCTGAGTCTCATAAAATATAAAGGGTGTTATATTTAAATTAAACAAATTATTGCCGTTTAAAGCTAGTAATTATTTAAAATAAAATTTTAGACACTCTGTATAAGGTAGTATAATTTTTATAATAAAATTTTGACTGCAATTTAACAAAATTGAAAATATTTCAAGAACGGTAAGGTTTAAGTGTAATAAACCTTAATCAAATTTACCTTTATTTTAATCGTAGAAACTAAAAATGTAATAATATACAGGGTATTCCGTTTAAAAAAATACAACTTTGATATTTTTTATTTATTTGGGACACTCTGTATCTTGTAAAAATATTTTTAAATTGTAGCTCTAACAGTCCTTCAATGAACACAAAACTTACAATTTGTAAAAATCTAATCGTTTAGCTACAATACTCCGTGTCGTATGTGGTGAACAACCCTGTATATTGGGACACCCTGTATTTTTTTAAAGGAACATACCGTAGATCACTTTTTCCTTTCTACAAAGGATGTAAATGACATACAAACATTTTTTTTCTTTAATCCATTCACTAATAATTTTGTTATAAATATGTAATAGTGATGTGGTAATATAAATATTTGTAATTTGATTTTAACTAAGAGGAAAATCAGATTTTACTTTTAAAGGCTGACCTACAAACATACAAATTTTGTTTCTTGGTAAATATCTAAAACCAGTTCTTATGCATGACATTGACTGTGTTGAAGTTTGAACAACAAATTAAGGTATAGCAAGGAAGTATATGTATCTATACGAGACGAATCAGTGTATTTCAAATAACATAGCCATTTTTAATACCTACAGGGTGTCTCAATAAACCGTGGACATAGAACTACTACGTATTATAAAAATAAGTAAAAAAGTTCGTATAAATGTATGTCCTAAAATGCTTACAATGCTTTTTTATCTTTTAAATGATTTTTCAAAATGCCTTTATTATTTGAAGTAGTTGAAGTTGTTGGCATTTTGAAAAAGCAATCAAAAGATAAAAAACGCTGCTAAGACTATCAAAATGTTGATCTAATAACAATTTGACGTTTATACTATTACGTCAAAAGCAACTTTTTTCCAAAGCCTACCATGACTTCACTGAATCATCGTTTCTTGTTCACTATTATTAATATCTTAATTATTAGATATTAATACATTTGATATTATGATATTCTGGTATATCGTCGATTTTAAAATAAACTAACTGTTTCTATCTTATTTATAGGTTAGAATGGGCATAATCAAGAGGGCTTAGACAAGGAAAGAGAGGGGACAGGTAACACGGCAGCTGAAAGTGAAGCAAGTTGTCACCACGCGAAATTCTCCAATGGCGTAGCATCAGAAATTAGCTTGTACCTAGACGGTATAAAATATTTATTAAAACGTAAACTAATATATCTTTCATTTTTGGGTAATGCATATACAATTTTGTATTTTATAGTGTCATCTTTATAATATTAGAATATTTCAGTCGATAATGCAAAATTTATTTAACAGTAACAGTGGACTGATTATCAAGACAATTATTTATTTATTAACGTGTGTATACGTATAATTAAATAAAAATAATGTAAATATATATGTTTTAAATGTGTATATACATATTACCGTATGATCGAAAAAAACGGCGTCTTGTTTGTTTGGAAATGACAGTTTCACAAATTAATATTAAAATTACATTATTCATTGAATCCGTAATGCTAGAGTGTGAAGGGGATTGGGCTAGATTCATTATTATACCGTATGATCGAAAAAAAGCGATGGCCAGTTGGCTTTGTAAATTACGATCGTAAACATTCCACATATAATTCTACATATAAAATGACAAAAACTATACAAAACGAGATCGAAAAAGACGGCGTCAGCGATGGCTATTAGAAATGAAGATTGCTGTCATTTTATATGTAAAATTATATGGGGGAATGTTGTCGATCGTCATTTACAAAGCCAACTGGACGTCGTTTTTTTTTCGATCATACGGTATAAATAATGAATCTAGCCAATTCCCCTTCACAGTTGCGTACGGATTCAATGAATAATGTAATTTTTAATATTTGTTACCTTCAATCATAAGAATATTCTAATTTTCCACAAAAAAAAAACAATTCTAGAAGCTTTTTGTATTATTTTATTTATTTTTAAATTTTTATTAATTACTTACTGAAACTGTTATTATACACCTAAATTAGCAATTTTTTTGAAAGAATATTTAAAAAAATATAGTAACAAGTAGCCCACCACAAGTTTGTCCACCCCCAGCAAATCTTGGCAGGTAAATTTAAGTTTTATATGACAACTATACATATACATTTTTTATCACTAGAATTTTTCATTTTTTTTATAGTTTACAATTATTTTACTATTTGATAACAATACTTTATACATTTTTTTACGTGGAAAATATGTAAAAAAATGTTTATTGCAGAAATTGTATTTCTCTAATTATAATTCCCTACGCCGCTGGAGAAATCCATGCTCAGTAGCGTTATTTATAGTTTCAAACATTAATTATAATACAGAATATTGAAAATACTACTTGGAATTATTAAAAATAGTTTTGTTAGGATGTGATATAAGACATATTAAAACCATTTTACATATTTTTACTGCTGTAATGGAAAAAAATTACATTTTATGATCACATAACAAAAGTTGTGGGTCGATTTTTACCTGTGAAATGTAATTCCAGCCACTTTTTTCTCGCTTCGGCCTTTGCAGCCATACGCTGAACATTTCACCATACTAAACAACACAGTTTATAAATTTAAAACAAAACAGTATTCACAAAAAGCATAAAAATTCGCTTGGTGTCACCTCGAAATCTTGTCACCAAAGTATGGCCGCCGATCAAATTTTGGCCTCAAAAATTTTTCACTGAAGAATACGCGTGTTAGCTGTCCCCTCTCTTTCCTTGTCTAAGCAAGAGGGCTACTGATACCGTGTTGTAAAAATAAGGTAATTAAGGGCTTATTTTTTGGTATTTATTATAATTTTGCTAATACCTTCGGTTTGAAAGAAGATATCAAAGTGCGGTTTTCACTGACTTTTTAAGCTTTTACTACTCTTTACTATCAGCTAAAATTACATATACTATTGCATTTTTTTTTTTTTTAACGGGCAATGTTTGTTAAATTGTAAGACAACGCCCCCTAGCGTCTACGTTCAAAAGCTTATTATTATTGTTTATATGATACAATATAGAGTAAGAAACGCTCTTTTAAACGAGCCCTCGCTTGTTGAATTCCGATCATCCAGTCCAGAGTTATTAATATTCAAATAAAAAGAGATCTAACCTTCCCCCACCACTTTATTTTGGTAGATAGGGGAAAATGGCTCTAACAAAAAAAAATTCAAAATTTACTGAAGATTATGAAGCTATTACTTATAGTACACCTTATCTAGGCAAAATTGTGTAAAAACTCCATTTTCTTATTTTTTGTTGCAGTTGCGCCCCCTAGCGGTAGCTCTACAAACTTGGAAATTATTTCCAGCAATTTCCCATAGCCTCTTTAGTATACGTATTTTTTTCCGCAGCTGCTACGGCTAATACTTTCCGAGATATAGCCGAGGGCTATTCTTAGTGGGACACCCTGTACACACGTCTATTATAAACCATTGACGTTCTGTCAAAATACTACAATTACTTAATGAGGTAAAACCAGAAAGTTTAAACATTCTGTATATGATTTTTTTTGTTTCTTTTTAATTTTCCCAGCTTATTTTTCAGAATTCTTTTCAGGAAATGAATCTGCTACGAAGGTATAGATATTATTTTCTATTACTGACTGTTTATTCTTATTGAGTTTTATTTCGTTTATTAGAATTGTTATTATTGTTGTTGTTGTTATTTACTTTTTCTTTGCAGTATTCCTCCTTCAGTTGCTGTAAAACTGATATCCTCGAACCTGATGTCAATCGGCGCGTCAGAAGGTTGCATATTGAACACAGTACCATTCGAAATAGCACCATCCTTCACCTCCAAGCATCTCTCGGTTTCTTCTCTGCTACCGTTACATATAACTAGCGCATCACCGGTAGTACTTTCACTAACTTTAACAACACTACTCTTATCAAGAACCGAACTAGAGTCCTCTCCTGGTACTTTACAGGCTTCGTGAAGCAAGGTTTCCATTTTTACTAGTACTTTTCAGTCAGAAAATATATTTAAAATGTGTTTTTTCGTTGTCATTCGTAGCTAAAAACCGTTGTGTATATGCGGGTAAAATTCACACGGTACTGTGCGTATCGGTCGGGTACCGACAGTACTGCAAGCATCTATCTTTGTATTCGCCGATTTATATAGAGTGGTACCGCGCTTGGACTCTGATACGATACATCAAGTTCAGATTACCCCGTTGTGTGGAGGTTTGTCGGTATCAGTACCACTAGTAAGGGAGCCTAAGATACTAAAGGAAGATTTACTCCTGCGTCATGGGGAGAAAATAAAAATTTGTCAAGTGCGAGTTGGACTCGCGCACAAAGGGTTCCGTACCGTTCATTATCTATACAACATTAGACACTGTATTATTATAAACTTTTTTTCCGATTTAACTGAAATTCTGAATACGCGTATAAGTAATTTAAAAAAAATGAAGAAACACATTACTAAAAGTTGTATTAATCAATAATAAATATGTAAAAATTAAGAAAAACGATTAAAAAAAGTCGCCTTGACTAGGATTCGAACGTGCCTTAATACGGCTAGAACGTCATAGCAGCGTAAAGTCCTAACGATTTAACCACGCGGCCACCTAAGACTTGAAAGATTCTATGTAAAGTTCTTAAGGCGCGTTCTCACGACTCAAGTTTGGTTGAACAACTTTAGTTGATCAACAAAAATTGAATAAAGACTAGATCAAGTAAAGTTCACATATGCAGCAGAAATTGATAGTCCCGGTTCAGTTTGAAAATGGCGTCGATACAACGCAAAGCGTTTTCTCTTGCATCTTTGTTTTTATAGTCACTGATGCGATAGTTCCAGAGGCACTCATGTCTTTGATATAGTTCAAAAAACTTCATAATCAAATTTTCTGACCATTTAACACTCATTGTTAACACTATTTTTTATTTTCAATAATATTTCTTGCCAAAAACTACCAAAACCGTGGCTAGTTGATTGACTGCCTAGTTCACACGTTTCAAGTCTTGTTTCAACTTGAAAGCAATTCGGGACTTGAACGACAAAAGTTTGAATGGATCATTGATTTTGGACTGGTATGTTTTGCTTCTAGACCGACGATATTCTAAATATATGGTTATGTATATCATATTTTTTAAATTTAATTCATTATTTCTAAATCCGTTTGGGTAATATTCAATTCCATTTTCAAAATTTCAAACAATAAAGGGTGCTATCTCCAGAAGTATATTTTTATTTCTTATTTCTGCAAGACGAATATCTGCTATCTCCCTATTGTGTCTGAAAAAAATTATGTAACACGAAATATTGAGTTTTATTGTTCCCCAGCAAATAAATTATCATATTAACGCATGAAAATAGTTCCTATATGTGGACATATTTTTTTGTACCGTTTTTTTGCTCTCCTGTAAAATTAGAAATAATGGAGTTAGGAGTTTATCACATTTCACGGACGAATGATGTGTGTCTGATGGAGCTGATGGCTCCATCAGACACAAAAAATGATGGAGCTGATGGCTCCATCAGACACACATCTTTTCTTTTCTGATGGAGCTTGTACAGGCTTTCAAAAAATTTTAACAGGACACTGTCTCCTCTAGGAACACCTCAGTAAATTTAAGCTTAGAAAAAACGGCGAATGCAGATTCTGTGGGGAAAATGGGGAAACACCAGAACATCTCATGACTGAGTGCGCCGAGACGACAACCATTCATGACCTAAACTTTGGTACGACTGATATCGGAGTTGGAAAAACTATAACGGTCTCAAATACTGACTTTTGTCAAAGCCCTGAGAATATATGGTGAATTACAACTCAAGAAAGGGGGGCACAATAGGTCCCCCAGTGATTAAACCCCTTCTATACAGGGTGAGTTTTCTACGATGTTCTCTGTGGGTATCTCGGAAACTACTGGAGATAGATGGTCGGTTAAATGGGGAAAGAATTGCAGTTTTGTGGGATCATAAATATGCGCCTTTCAGATTTTTGAAAAAGTTCATGGCTTACTAGATATTTCGAAAAAAATACTTTGGCTATATTAAAAATGGTTCCTAATTCCATTATAATCTGTTTTAGACAAAAAGTTTTCAGATAAAAGTTGTAGATAATCACATCCTTAATGAGATCGTGTTCTCCGTTTTTTTCTAAAGTCTGTCATTTTTGACATATGACACAAACGTATGTTTTTTTAAATGGAAACTATAGGTAGCCATGATTTCATAAAAAGCGATTTTTTTTAAGCTTTTCAGCGATATAAGCTTTAATATGTTTTTTTTTCGAAAAATTAGTCAGTTATACCTAGCCAATTTTTATCTGAATTTTTTTTGTCTAAAATAGATTATAATGGAATTAGGGATCGTTTTTAAAATAGCCGAAATTTTTTTTTTTCGAAATATCTAGTAAGCCATGAACTTTTTCAAAATTCTGAAAGGCACATATTTATCTCCCTTCAAAACAGCTTTCCCCATTTAACCGAGTCTCTATCTCCAGTAGTTTTGGAGATACCCATAGAGAACATGGTCGAAAACTCACCCTGTATATTCTACATTCTACAATGATGTATCGCACTTACTCAAGAATCGAATATCACAGAACCAAAACATTTGGACTTGGACTCTAATTTTTTTATAAAGTTTTTTTAAAGGTTTTTTGTTGATTGAAGTCAAATATTATTTTATTTGTCTGTGTTGTCGTAAAACTAAAAAAAGGGTCTGTTATTCTTTAACTTTCATGATGAAATTGACACTGGGTGACACGTTTTTTTAAGTGAAAGAAAATTATTGCAAAAAAAACATCAGAAAAAATATAGCCCCAATTTTCTGGTAGGTTAAAATTAAATAAAACACATGATAAACGTTATCTGAAATATTTGCATACAAGAACATCATTTTGTCGTTAAATATAGTTTTTAATCGATTTAAAATAACAAAGCAATTAATTGCATGTCAAAGCAAACAGCGACAATCGCAAATTTATTGTAATTATTATTAGTATTTTAATTATTTAATTCCTTCTCTGTAGCCTATCAAAGGAGTTTAATGATATGTTCGTGTTTAAATTTATATTCTTTGTTTATAAATAACATAATTATATTTTCTTTGTTTTTTTAATAACTTTTAAAATAATATAACAACTATAACATTGTTTTCAAAATATACGCTTAGTAATTTTTTACCATACCAACAGGTATGGTAGGCTATTAAGATCGGCAAAAAAAACGTTTTTTTAGTTTAACGTTTTCATAAATGACCTAAATACAAAATATTTTCATGGTGTCTGTCTGTCTGTCTGTCTGTCTGTCCGTCTGTAACACGATAACTCAAAAACCGCTAAACCGATTTTAAACAAATTTGGCACAAAAATACTGTGGCACCCGAGAATTTGGCCATTAGTTTTTGGTGGGGGTGGGGGGTTGGTAAGGGGGTATGGATGGGGGTTAAACATTTTAAAAAATCGTAACTCCAAAATTACAGTAGCTAGCGAAACGCGGTTTTCAATTTAAGATTAGGAATAATATTTGCTAAAAAAATTGTAATAACATCAAAATCCGTCAAAGTCGCAGTTTTTAAGATATTCCGTGTTTCCGTAGTCCCTTTTTCAAAAATCCGTGTGGAGAACTCCAAACTCCTATCTGACGCGACCCCAGGTGGAGGATAGGGGAAATAACCGCGGACCAAAAATTGCAAAAATTCCTTTACTTTGAAACTAAAAGAACTGTCTACCAACTTTTTTTTAACATATTTTAGTATGGGCACCAATTTTTTTCCTTTGTTGTTCCTGTCGTGTTACTTTGCCAGTTGGGAACTCTCAGGTTGTTTGTTGTTTTATATATCATTATGCTCTTGCTTTGGCATCTCTGTATATATTGGTATCATAATGTAACAGTATCATTCATTCTCTATTACATAATAAAATATCTCTCAATAATATCTTCAACCTAATAACCAAAATAATTTTATTATTTTTCTCAATTTATTCCGTTTACTTTGCTAATATCATTTGAAATGTTATTTCCGTTATCTATTCAATAGAGCAAAAATTTGACTTCTAATTTGTAATCTTCCTCACAACGCGATATAGTTTGGCAAAAATGTCAAATAAACAAATAAGTAAAGCGTCATGAATTTACTCCAAATCGCTGATAGTCCCCATATAAGGAAATAATAAACAATTTATTGCTTTATTTATAAATTATTCCACACATATTTATATTTTGATATCGTATGCAATAATATTCACTCAAAAGTCGAACAAAATATTTTTAAACTATTTATATTATCGTTTATTTAGGCAATCATATGGGAGTAGGTATTAAAGTTTGCTAAAGAAACGTCTACACCTAAAGCACAAATTACCTATAACAGATGCGAAAGAACACCGAATTACGCGTTCAGGTTTCTGTGACCTTCAGAAAGAGTTCATAGACAATCCGCATCAATGTATAGTTTGGGTTATTATTTGTTTGGGTGAAAATAATCTGCACCAATATGTTATCGAGGCATACAAAAAGGTCCACAGACTTCGAGACATACGAAAAATCAAGTCCATTTAGCGTATGTCGCAATTTTCACACCTTAAAAATTTGTTTTTGATAGCTATAGCAACTGCAGCGACTATGAAAAAAAGCTGTGTGATTTCATAGAAAATAAGGGCACCTGTAATTCATTTGAGAATGTTATAAATCGCTAAAAGAGGTTTCAAATCTCTTGAATTTCTATTAATATTAAATAAATTTTATTAAAAATTGAACTAAAATTGTTAGTATCATTAAAAACAACTCAAATTCAAAAATTGTATCAGTCAATTAAGGTGAATATTAAAGTAAATATAAATACAGCTCATTCTAAGCTCTACTTATCTTTAAGAAAAATTTAAATCATTGTTGCAATTGGGCCTTAATGCCATTTCGAATGAACAATAGTATTAATAATGTACATTATAATAATAATAAAGTTTATATCATAGTGTGTATTAAAAGTACTAACACACTTTTAAATTGATATTATATTAACAACTTTTGTTTTTTAATCCAAAAAAAAGTTACCAATTTTCTCAATCAAAATATTTGTGGTCCTGAAAAGGACGTTCGTTTTCCCATGTTCGTCAAGATAGGTAATGGGTAAACGGTAAAAAAACAGGATAATGAAATTTA